TAGAGGCACCTAGGATCCTGGAGAGGAACAGTGTGGCTTTATGAAACTCAGTCTGTGTCAGACAATTTTAATTTCCTTCCATGGCAGGATGACAGGACTTGTAGCTGGGAGGCAAGCGATAGAGGCCATTAATCTGTCTTCTACTCAGCTCTTCAATTCTATCCTACATGTGAGGCCGGGCAGCCTGCTAGGAAATGAGTCAGGCACCGCGTTTCTCAAGCTGCACGCCCTGGAGAGTTCGTGAGAATCGTTAAGTACAAGAATACATTCTTGAATAGAAGATTGTCTTTTTAAAAGTATTCTACCAGTTAAAAAAGAAAAAGAGAACTAACTTCTGTTTTGCTTCAAAAAATTATAAAGATCTTATAGACTAACTTCAGTGTCTTAAGTCAGTGTTTTTCAAAATGATTTTGGTTCCCAGATGCATTCTGGAGGCTGTATTACTAGGTCCCAGCAGGAACCAGATGGCAAATTAAACAGGGAACTGACAAAACTTACTGAAGGGACTGCTTACAAAGTGGTGGGCAGGATTCGGGAACAATAAGGGGTGGCACAGCTGGGGACAGCTGTTACCAGCCCTGATCCTGGGGGGCTGGAGAGGGGAGCAATTACCAGTGCCTTGGGAGGACAGCAATATGGCAAGGGCCACCAGCAGCAACTGTGGCCTCTAGTAGAGGGCACAGCTGTCCTGCCATGACCCAGCCTGAGGACCATATGCAAACCCATGAAATTACGTGCAGATTTGGGAAGTATCTGTGTGAGTGGGTCTTTTCCTGCAGAAGAAATCTGTAGATTTTATTAAAAGTTCCCCAAAACGAATCCCAAATGTCCAAAGCTGTGTTTTTCAAAGAAGGAAATAAAATTCAAAAGAACTTTGTTATGTTCCTGAAGTTGATACCACTGCAGGATACAAAGCACCGAGTAACATCCTGTAGTTGGATAAAAATGAGCGGGGAAAATTTACTTGGTGTATTTTGGGCTGCAAATTAAGTTTTACTAAGCAATTATTACACTTCAACTGTTAACTGTGCTAAGGTTTGGGAGTCACAAGTCTTAATGAGCTTGCATCGCAAATTATATTGACTAAACACTTCCTAATTCACCTTGTATATTTCTCCAAAATGTTCAAGTGATAACACTTGAATAAAATTAGCCTCAGAGATACTAAGTCATGTATCTGTTTTTATTTATTTATTTTTGTGGTTTTGTTCATTTTTGTTTGAACGGTATTTTATGGGGCTTTGTTTTTTTTGCTTGTTTTTGTGCATATATATAATTTTATACACACAAATATATGTGTGTGCATGTGTATGTATATATAGTAAAATTGAAGGGAATTATATATTATTAAATATAAATTATATATCATATGTAAATTATTAATACATTATACATAATTATAAAAATATATAATATATAATGATATATATAGATGTATGTATGTATAAATTGGATATAACAATATAAATTGGATATATATGTATACATATATATATATATATGTATATAAATCCATTTGGTTTTACTCTGTCAGGTACTGTGCAAATTGCTAAAATACTAGATGATTAAGATACTATTCCTGGAATTAAGGAATGAGATTCTAGTAAGAGAAGTTGCTCTTTCTCTATGTTCCAGTGGAGACATCATCTAAAAATGTTTAGAAGTTCGATTAGAAGATCACCTGGAGATTCACAGAGCATCCAATCTTCTAAACCAGTGGCTGTCAACACAGCCTGCACATTAGCAAGGAACATTTTTAGAACAGATCTTCTTAGTCCCATTCCCAGAGAGTTTTATTTAGTTGTTTTAAAGTAGAACCCAAATAGTGGTTTTGAAAGGCTTCCCTGGGGATCTTAGAGTGCACCAGTCTGAATTACCCTAGGGTGGTGTCCCAAGTGAGCTCACTTATACCCCCCCACCTCCCCAACCACCCTCACTTCTGCTCCCTGCACAGGGCCACACCCAGGACCCACCTTACCTCTACATGCTGTGGCCTCTCAGAATCAAGCCTAGTTGTTCTTCTTCTGTTCGCAATTTTATCTTAGAAATGTCAAATTCTTTTCTTTTTATGACACCACCGCTAGCCAGCTCAGAGCCAGGGAGAGCCCCAGTCTGAGGCCCAGACTCTATGAGGTGCGTCTTATTAATGGTACATTCAGGCTTCATGTCCCTGATACTCCTTCCTTTTTTGTTTTCTTTCCCACTTAGTTCTAACTTACACTATCTTGATGTGCTTTTATTTATATGTGTAAGCTGTCTCTGATTCTTTAGGGGGAAGGGGGATATGTATTTATAAGGAATGAATGAGCAAAGGAAAAAACACAAAAATGCACACCAACAAACATACAGAGAGATAATCGGGCGACAGTTTTTGTGAGCCTATCTGTTTCTTAAAGGGTGTCCAAGGAAGGTAGATTGAATGAGGAAGAGCAGGCATGAGATGAACAGCCACTGCCCAGCCTGAGAGCACACGTGGCAGAGGGGTCGGGGACCGCAGAGGACAAAATTCCACTGCACAGTAAGGGTGAAGTATTAAGCATTATTTAGATAACAACCCAAATCAGACATACGTGCAAGCTGGGGAGTGTGGGAGTGTGCTGTGGAAAGCCATGGACAGTGCTGGAAGAATCTGGGTTCAGGATCAGCTCAAGCTTTGAGTTGCAATTGAAACCATGGCCATGAACTAAGTGGGCCCCCTTAGGGAGAGCGGGCAGCAGAAGGCCTTGATGTGAGAAGGGATATTGGCATTAAGAATGCCCATTGTCGTGTATGATACCCCTGTGTACGTCAGAAAGAGGGGCCTCTCAGTGGGTGGGGCCCAGAGTCGGAAAACACAGTCAGCTGAGCAGGCAGGTCTAGGTCCCTGTTCCCCCCAGCTGAGTGCTCTCATTGGATGGATCTGTAGACAGCCTTTTATAGAGGATGGCGCCTTTGTAAATGTGTGCCCCAGGAACCCAGGGAGATGTGGCCAGAGATGTGGCCCAGGGGAAGAAGGGACACAGGTGAGCAGGACTCACCCATGGTGAAAGCAAGGGCTCTGTGAGGGTTGTTCCCTTCCTTCTAAAACCAATGTGAATATTTTGAAGCAGGAGAGTAACCCAATCAAGCTTCAAGAGTGGAGTCAATGCCATCAGGGCTAACACTACCACAGTGATCTGAAGAAGAGAAGATGGTGGCCGAGGTGAGGATGGGTGCAGAGAAGATGGAAGGACACTGGGGACACTCTAGGGTGAATCAACTAGTAGAACTTAGTGACTGATCAGATGTGGGAATGAAGGAGAATCCTCACCAGGGTCTGGTACCATTTGTTGAGACAGGAAGTACGAGTGAGAAAACACACACACAAACACACACATATGGGGGCGTGCACATGCGCACATACACAGTGCCACAGGAGCTGAGAGCAGGATCAACTGTGACTGTTCCATTCCTCTCTCTTATGGCCTCCCCTTCTCCCGGGAAAAGTGAAAATAAAGATTATCCAAGAAGACACAGACAAAAGTTCAAACTGAAGGCTTATGTACTCTGAAACTATTTCCACTTGGTCTAAAAAAAATATGAAACAAAGTAAAAACTCTACCAGAAAATGACTGTGATGCTATTGTACCTTACGTTTAGCTCTGATTTCTCTTTATATTTGATAGGAGACCTTAAAAATTGCACTGCAAGTATCTTTATTGCCAGAAGAAGTTCACAAAATGATACACCTCTTAGGGAATTGTTTGTGATAATAAACACCTACTAAAAAGAGAAAACGGTTCCACACACAGGAACAGGCCAATTCAAACTCAGTCAACCTCGGGCTTGTTGACTGCCAGCAAGGATCCTGTCCCAGGCCTCCATTCTGCCATCTGCAACAATGCTTCCAGGGTCTATGATCTGTATCATGCTGAAATTAAACCTTATTTGAGCCACAATCATATAAATATATGTACACAACATTACATACTATGCAAGTTTGAAGGCATAATCCACCCATCCCTCACCTACTCTTTCCAACTCCTACATATGTCAAATTGATAACCTCCAAGACAGTGTCAATGCAGAGAGAGGATGGTGCAGATGGCGCGTGCCCCGTGCCTCCCAGAGGGGCAAATAAGTGGGGGTGCCAGCAGGGCAGTGACCCAAAAGGATTACTTTAACATTGTAAACTCAACTCTGAATGTCATTGTTACTAATTCTTCAGCCCATTTGGTTAACATCGAAATGAATTACAATTTCAGTGCCTTTAAAATACATTCCTTTAAAAGAAAAAGAAATTGCTAGAAGGCAATTTGGTCACTTGTGACTTCTGAAGAAAAATAAAGATCTTTCTTTGAATTACTGAAGGTTTTCATTTGAAAAATAACATGTAATCCAGAGTAGTTGTATTCTGTGATAAAATCATAAATATAGGCATATGTAGACCTCTAGTCCTATTCTGTGGTGTGCTGAAATTGTGCAGTTTTTAAAAAGTATTTTCATATTTCCCTAAGGGCAACTTTCCCATATAGATCTACATTACGCTGACACTTAAGTCTGTAAATATTTTGAATGTACATAATCAATTTTTGTCACTTGTCCAATACCTAGAACTGCCTGACAACTTTCTAACATGAATTTCTGGATTGGTTTCAGAAACAGAGTGACTGGTAACTGTGTCTACAAATGGCTGATCTGTTTTGATGTGAGCTTAATTAATGCTGCATATGAAACTCCAAATGTCACAAGCCAGGAGTTTTAAAATTTTAATTATTAGACTGATTTAGTTAACTTACTCTAAAATGAAATTTGAATTTAATTTAATGTGATTATTAAATTCTTTCATAATAAGTGTTTGGATTTTTTTTTTTTTTTTGAGACTGTCTCACTCTGTTGCCCCGGGTAGAGTGCCATGGCATCATAGCTCATAGCAACCTCAAACTCTTGGGCTCAAGAGATCCTCTTGCCTCAGTTTTTCTATTTTTAGTAGAGACAGGGTCTCACTTTTGCTCATGCTGGTCTCAAACTCCCGAGCTCAAGTAATCTGCCCCCCTCAGCCTCCCAGAGTAATACATTTTCTTTTTTAAGAGGAAAGGATTTAATAAAATCTCTCCATTATGATTTTAACATGTGAATGAGAATTATATGAAAATACCACAAATGTTATGATGTTCACATTACAACTTGAGCTATAAATTTGCAGGGGAGGGTTGGGAGACTTCCTTATAATGTTTGGTCATGAAGTCCAAGCTGCTGTTTGATGAACTTGGAGATTAGGAGCTGAGGTCGTTGCTGGTACTCTACCAGAACGTCATGGGGCAAGTTGATCTGGTCGCAGTCAAGTCTGTCAAGAAGTGTCACACAGACCACAGCAGCTGGAACAGCAAGGAACACAACTGGTGAAATGAATGGGTTTATTGTTTCCGTAGAAACACCAGCCAAACCCATAGCACAAATACCCCTGCTTTCCCTATAATGCAGGTGCAACCTGACCAGCCCTCTGGTCTTTGTGATTCACATTTCTGTGGAACCCCACCAACTCCTTCATTTACTTGAAATTATTGTGAATACTCTTCCTTCCCCTTTCCTCCATAATTAGCTAGGTTAAAGCTCAGGAAAGCATCATATTCAAGATTGAACAAGGAGGGATCTTCACCATGTGGATGCACAACCTCCAGCCTTCTTTCCTATTTCCAGTTCTTAGAGAAGGCTTTTCTTACTTGAGGGTATAACTGGAGGACTAGCCATTATTCCTCGGGGCAATGTTTGAAACGTTGTCTGCTACTGACTGCCCTTGCTGAAGAGTAAAGTAAATAGAGAAGAGATATGGAACACTGACCTCAGGAAACCAATAAAGGTGAGTACTGACCCTCATGAAATTCAAAAAGAAAAATATGAAATGAAACGCTTAAACATAAGTATCAACTCAGTATAAGAGCAACTGTATTAGCATTTAATTTCTAAAGAATCTGAATAAACTCTTATGATAGATAAGAAATCAAGAGAAAAACAATAAAAATCCTTTCTTAAAAAATGAAACTTCCATTTTGAAAAGTCACCATGAGGGGAAGGTCCTTGGTGTCATCAGAAAGAGCCAAAGAGAAAAACTGAGTTTCATATGAATTCTTTATTGTCAATTTTGCGCAAAATCTGTGATTTCAAGGAATGTGGTAATCCGCATTGAAATCAGTGCCAACCTCTCTGAATTATTAAGTGTTTAGTAATCTCCATTTGCATGTGCATCATTTAAAAAAGGATTTCAGTGCATATGGGTTTAGATGTGTCTTTATTTACAAGCTTTGAGAGCATAGAGGTACCGTTGGGCTTGAGGATAATATTTATTTCTTTGACTTCTCTACTACTTCAGACTTCTTTGTAAGATCTAGATTTGGGAAGGAGAAGTGTACTGTAATTATAATAGCACATTCTATCTTTTTATTTTATTTTTAATTGACAAGTGAAAATTGGATATATTTATGGAGTACATTGCAGTGTTTGGATATATGTAAAAAATAATGAAAAATATATGTAAAATATTATAATTTGATGGAATCAAGCTAACTAATATATCTATCATCTCATACGCTTGTCATGTTTTGTGGTGAGAACAATCAAAATCTACTCTTTTAGAAAATTTAAAATATACACTATTATTAACTATAGTCACATGCTGTGCCATAGATCTCTAACCCTTATTCCTCTGAAACTTTGTACCCTTTGGTCAACATCTGCCCATTCTCCTTCCTGTCTTACCACCCTCTGATAACCACCATTCCACTCCCTACTTCCAGGAGTTTTACTGTTTTAGATTGCAAATTTAAGTGAGATCATGCATTATTTGTCATCTGTGCCTGGCTTATTTCCCTTAGCAAAATGTCCTCTAGGTAAGTTCATCCCTGTTGTTTCAAATGATCAGATTTCCTTTTTAAAGGCAGAATACTATTCCCTTATGTATATATATCACATTTTTAAAAACTCTGTTATCTGTTGATTCCATCTCTTGGCTATTGTGAATAATGCTACATGAGCACGGGAGTGCAGAGATCGCTTCAACGTAACTGATTTCAGTTTCTTTGGATATATACAAGGTTAGACAACTAAGTTCGTGAACTCAACCTAGAAAAAGGGCTACATCCCTCATTGCTGAGTACCACTACGGTCACCAGATGGCCAACGGGAGTACTTTGAAGTGACTGAGTGATATACAGCAATGAGGTCTGTAGCCCTTTTTCTAGCATGAGTTCATGAACTAAATTGTCAGACCGCATACTCAGAGATAGGACTGCTAAATCACATGGTACTTCTATCTTCAGTTTTTTGAGTAACCTCCCTGCTGTTTTCTGTAGGGGCTGTACTAATGTACATTCCTACCTACAGCACACAAAGGTTCCTTTTCTCCACATCCTCAACCCCACTTGTTACCTTTTGTCTTTTTTGGTAATAGCCACGTTCGTAGGCATGAAGCGATATCTCCTTGTGGATTAGTCTGCCTTTCCCTGGTGATTGGTGGTACCAAGTATATTTTCATATATCTGTTGGCCCTCTGTATGTCTTCTTTGGGAAAATGTTTATTCAGTTCCATTTTTTTAATTGGGCTTTATTTTTTCTTACTATTGAGTTAAGTTCCTCGTGTAGTTTAGTTACTGACCTTTTATTAAATGTATGGTTCTCATATATAGTCTCCGTATTTCTCCAAATATTTCTCCGATCTGTGCATCTTTTTTGTTTGGTGATTTATCGTTACACACTGAGCATTTATGATATCATTTAATGCTGACAGCTGCGCCAGGAGCAAGGGATTATTGTTTGTCCCCTTTGACAAATGATGAAATGAGAGTTTAGAGAGGTCAACCAAGTGGCCCAGTGTGACGCAGCCGGGAGACAGCCAATCAATCCCCAGCTTCCAAAACAACTGAGGAGAGTTCTCTACCCTCTCCCCACTCCTCCCCTGAGCTGGCACACGGTGAGCATTAGGCAAACCTGCCCTGCCCCATCCGTCAAACCGGCCCCCTTGTTCAGTGAAGTGAAAAGCAGTGAAAATATTCAACGTGAGCTGAGTCAAATATTTCATCACCTAAGACCCTATTTATTCAAAACTCACTTGGCTGTAAAGCAACTTGGCTGAGCAGGTAAACAAGAAAATGGAAGAGCCAGGAACTTCCCCCGGCTTTTCAAGTTAATGATCTGCAGGTCTGTGAAGCCTGACGTAGGCTGGCAGGAGGAAGGAAAAGTTGAAAGTTCTCTAATCCTTCACTTGGCAGAAGGATAAAAGGAAACCCGTGCTCTGTACTTTTCTCGGAGTGGGAGCAGACTTTACTAAATGTGTTCTCTGGATTTCAAGGGGAATGCCAAAGATGGAAAGGAACGGGTCGTAGCCATCTCACTGGTGTTTTCTTGACCCTGGAGAATCTACTAACAAGCAGCATATAATAATCTTGTCACCTGAAATTACTATTTCCGTGAGCAATTAGAAGGGACTAATTACGCATAACCATTTGCTGAAATTAAGCCTGACAGCTTGGCTACCAAAATCCTCAGATTAGGCAGGGAGGGTGACTCCTGGGGAGGAAGGGACATTTAGTGACCTGGCTGTCACCAAGGAGGTTGTGAGCTAACTGACCTGAGGCTGGAATGTGGTAGGGACACCCAGATCTGAACACGGAGCTTAATGTACCTTGAGCTGCACAAGTGAGTCTCAACCCTTTGGAATCATTTATGGCCCCTTTGAGAATCTTTTGGAAGTCATAATTGGAACCTTTTTGTACACAAAATATTCATGCATAATGTCAGGGGTACAGGCCCACCAAACTCACTCAGTAATCCTTAGGAATCCATGGACCCCTATGCAGCACCACTTTAACCCTACCTTTGATTCCAGAGCAACTTTTCCCATGAACAGTGCTCAAAGACAGCAGGGCCGGCACAAATACCCAAGGGCACAGCAGAAGCCAAACAGGGCGGCCTTGGGGAACGGCAAAGCTGCAAAGGCGAGCTGCAGGGTGACCAGCCTGGCCTTTCTGTCTGCTCCTCTTCCACCTTCTCCTGCTCTTTTTCTGCCCCCGCAGTGCCCTTCAAGCGTTCAAGTTTATTAAGCAAATGCTACCTCTATGCCCTATATGCCTGGAATATCAGGCATGGGAATTGTTTTTAATCAACGACCCAGAGCCTTTGCACTTCTTGTGTCTTTGCTGAGACCTTTATCTCATGTTGCTGGGTCCTTATTAAAAACCAAGTACGGAAAAATCTATATTCAAAGGGGCTGGTCAAGGCTAAGGGACATATAAACTATTTGTTCTCCTCAATTGGTTTTTCTCAAAATGTGCTCCACTGGCCACCTGCATCAGAATCAGAGATGGTTAAAATTCGGATTGTTAGGCTCTACCCTTGACATATGAAGTCAGAATTTAACCACAGTGATGGTTAAAATTCGGATTCTTAGGCTCTACCCTTGACATACGAAGTCAGAATTGGGGGTGGGAGTTGGGAGAGGGCAGTTAATCTGGATTTTTAAAAATCCTCCCAGTTTAGTTGTTTGTACATTAATATTTGAAAACCATTGCTTTGAAGACTTTACGCTGTAACTCAGAACCAAGTCAAATTACCACAATGCACATGCGTGGACCCTACTTCTCCGGGTGCCGAAGGAAATGCTGAATTAGACAGAATCAATTCATTATACCTAGATAACTGTCCCGCACCTTTTGTGAAAGTGTTATTAAAGGCACCGTCCATTATAATGCAGCAATGATTTCACATAAGTTTAACATTTGGATAAAGTTTTGGTGACAAATCTCAAACCTCCTATTATTGGATAATGAGGGCTGCAGGACTCAAAGTATTTTTGTTTCCTGCTCAGCCTCCAGGACACCTGAATATTTAGGGGTCGTGTTGTTGCTCCTTGTAGCCCTTTACTATTGAGATCTCCCTATCTACTCCTTGAAAAAATGCCCTTCATTCTTTCTACCTTTGTTTAAATGCTATTATTATGCATTCCTCTTTCATTGAAAGCTGCCACGAAGGCTTTTTCAAATACACGAGAGTACAAGTCATCTGTGCATGGATAAATACGTTCCTTTTTTCCACCTTAGGGAATAGTGGAGACAGTGGCGGGCAGGAGCAGGAGAGCTCAGAGCTCTTCTCTGTCTGCTTCTGTCTGCATTTCCTCAGGCAGGTTAATTACACTCTCTAGACATCATTTCATCCTCGGAGAAGGGAGCAGGTTAGATCTCGAGGCATCTCCCAAGTCCACATCCTCAGCTCATGTGCTTCACATCAACTTGTCATTTCCAGGACGTGGTGTGTCTCTTGGAGGTCTGCCTGCAACCTCGGGGACTTAAGCTGCTAGTGGCTACCACCCCCAGTCAGAGAGACACAGGCTGGGCAGAGTAGAGCCTGA